AGGTTCTATTGGCTGTGGTGAGATTCTGTTGGTCTGTGAGGTTCTGTTGGTCCATGAGGTTCTGTAGGTTGGTCAGGTTCTGTAGGACTATACCAGCAGTTTTGCTGCACATCCTGACAATGCCAGAGTTTGTTCCTGCTTCTTCTTGTCAAAAGTGGTGTCTAGCTAACCAGTGAATGCAGGGTATAGTGGTGGGTACGGTAGTTACAATGTGAATCGACCAAGATACCCAAATATTTGTAGGAATCGACAAACTTAATAGAGGCTCAATAAATGCTCCGATGGACTTGTGTGTATTGATTTGTGGTCAGCTGAGGACAGCAACAATAAGTCTGTGGATGTTCTGGTGATCAATTCAAAGTTGGCACATGTTTTCCAGTGTCAGGATCTAAGAGAGTTGCAAAGAAGTTATGGGATTTTCTGTGTTTATGGCTTCCCTCAGTGTGTTCACTCAGACCAGGGTGCAAATTTTGAGAATGAGCTTCAGCTTGCTGAGCTCTCGGAGTTGAGTGATGTCAGTAAATCACACACCTCACCCTACCACCCGCTGGGTAACAGGACTGCAAAGAGATTTAATCACACTCTGGGCAACATGTTGAAATCTCTTCCTCCACATTCGAAGCCTAAATGGCCTCAGATGAGCCAGGCTCTGACTTTTGCATATAACTGAACAGTCCATGAGACCACAGGCTTTGCACCATTCTAATTGATGTTTGGGAGGATTCCCAGGCTGCTTGTTGACCTTGTTTTTTGGAACGTTCTGCATGATGATGCCATTTGTGACTACAACTCCTACCTCAAATCATTAGTTGGGGACTTGAGTTCGGCCATGCTACTGGCTCAGAGGAGCACTAGTGCAGAGCAGAAACATCAACATGATCAGTACAAGAGAGCCAAGGGTCACCCTCTGCCAGTTGGAGATCAGGTCCTGGTGGTGAACAGGGGAGCCAGGGGCAAGCGGAAGCTTTCTGAAAAATGGGAGCCTGTTAAGTACACTGTGGCTGCATCCAAACCTGCTCTTCGTGGATTGATGGAGCCATAAATGATTGGCAGTTCCACCACATTTTTTAAAATGGCGTCAACGTTGACGTACGATTCAGCGCTCAATGAGACATCTACGTATTCATGTTTATGGTTCTGCTGATGTGTGAGTGACGTGACGGAGCGTGCTGCAGTGCAGAGTGAAGGAATGGCAGGAGCAGTCCGGGAGTAAAACTTTTGGTGAGAGCTCCTATGAATGTATCATGGATGCAGAAGGATTCCCAGTTTCTTGATGAGTGGAAAACACATCGGGGTAGTCTAGTTGTTAAGTGTCAACATTTGTGAAACTGTCAGCATGGCCCCATCCCTGCTTCACCTGAACAGCGAGCAAGTTGTCTGTATGTTTCAAAACAATGGAATCTCACTGGCCAAAGAAGGATCTTTGGTGGCTGTTCCAGTAGGAGAACCACTGGAGCCAGTGAGTCATGCTGAAAACTAAGAATTTTTTTTACACCTTCACACAGGGTTTGAGGGTCACTTCCATCTCACCTGCTGTGTCTTGGTGGTGTCCTTCTTCACAGTCTCAGTTTATTATGGTGACATCCTCTTCATAGATTTACTCATGTTCTCTATTCCTTCTAGTTCCTGTAACACCTGGCACAAAGATCTGAATATCTCGACCTTGATCTCTCTAAGGGATTTTAAACATCTGCTAAGTTAAATTCAAAAACCAATGACGACATGTTCTTGTTTTTAGTATTTTACATAGTTTTATGATGTAGCATGTTTTTTTATTTTGTTTTCTATCCCTTATTTTATGTACTTTTCATTTTATAGGCTTTCATATGAATGTTTATTGTGTGCACCTCATTTATGGTTTTTATTTAAAACAGGTCTCTCTTGTAAATGAGTCCTCGTGACTCAGTGAGACTAGCCTGTATAAATAAAGGTTGAAGGAATGATACATTTAACAGTACTCCTGGAGATAAAGTCCATGCTCAATAATCCAGGTATACAATCCAACATTTTTCATTCAGGTCATCTGGATAGTTTCTTTTTTTGTGCTGAAACATTTTGCCTTCAATCCAGAACATCAGTCAAGGAAACACACAACAAAACTGATTCTTCCCCCAATAGCTTACTCCAAAGTGGAACAAACCAGTTTTGCTTGTGATAAGATGGTCTCTTTGAGCATGGACTTTGTTGTTTTCAACCAGTTTGACACGATTGTCAAGAAGGAAGAGGGCCAGCAATGGAGGAGGGGGTGTACCACAGAGACCATCTTATCACAAGCAGAACTGGTTTGTTCCACTTTGGAGTAAGCTGTTGGGGCAAGAATCAGTTTTGTTGTGTGTTTCCTTGACTGATGAAGCCTTCTGGATCGAAGGTGAAACGTTTCAGCACACACAAAAAAACTATCCAGATGACCTGACTGAAAAATGTTGGATAGTCCTGGAGATGTTTAGGACCTTGGAAATCCAGCCCCTGACTTGCTTATTTAAAATAACTGGAGACCTGTCCAGGTGTCCCTGTGATGGAACGGAGACCTGTCCAGGTGTCCCCCACCTCTCTCACACGGACTCCTGGACATGGGCACCAGTGACCCCCGTGACCCGAAAAGGAAGAAGCGGGCAAAGATGAATGAATGAATGATTATAGAAATATAGTTGATTTAAAATAAAGCTGTTAACTGAATTGTTTATTTCTGTTCCTCAGTGACTGCAGTGAGTTTTCAAACAGAGTTCAGGTCTCAATAAGAGGAGACGCCTGTAGAACGGTCATTTGGTCCAAATAAATAAATTCCTTCATCTGGTTCCTGTTTAGAGGGTCCCCTGTTCCACAGTTCTGGACCTCTGATGATGTTTAAATAAATACTTTTTGTTACGTTCCTTCATATCTGATCTAACCTGTCGAGATTTTTATTTCTGCACTTTATACAAAAACTTTAGTCCAGTCTTTGTAGTCTGATCCAAGCCCAGCAGAACTCCAGACTAACCAGAACCAACATGTCAAATGTCTTACCTTTCCTGTGAGCAGTCTGGCCAGCAGGGTGGACTTGCCCGCAGAGTCCAGACCCACGAGGATCACCTGGACACAGGTGAACAGAGTAAGGTGGATTGGTCTGTTGTTCTGGTTCTGACACCTGGGCTCTTGTAGTTTGGACTGAATTACAGATCCTGATCACCAGAACTGGCTTTGATCAGATAGTAATTATGTTTACAGACACAAACACTTTAGTAAACAACAACAAAGTGAAAACACCTGGGACCTGAACACACAGGTGCAGGTGTTACCTGAGGATAGGAAGAGGAGGAATTCTGACCCATCTCTTCTTATGTCTGCTGGAATCAGAACCAACCTGACAAATGAATCTCACCTGGAACTCCTCTCAGGTGTGTCAGCGCCCTCAGGACTCCAGGCAATCAGAACATCAGGAGCAGGTCATGTGACCGGGGCAGGTCTGACAGCATTTTTGTCCTGCAGGTGGCTTGAACACACCCATCGACTCGAGGTCGGCCGGTTGGGTGGTGGTTGACGGCGACGCGGGAAATTTTTGAAAGTTTTACATTTTCGTTTCCATATATACCGTTTTTCTTTTTGAATTTGGTGGTTGGTATAAACTGGAATGCGACTGGATCGGGATGACTACTCAGGGAGATTACAAGGAGGACATGGATTTTGATGAGTGGACTCCGGTAGGTAGAGGAGGAGGAAAAGGAAAAGCTTTGAGAGATGACAGAGAGCTTGGCAGCCATAGTAATAAGAGAAGCCTTGAAGAGCATAGTTCAGAGGATGAAAACAGACTGGTTAGAAGGAAAGTGATAAATGAGGAATTTAAGGTCATACTTCAATTCAAGAAAGAAGATGAGAACATGAATCTAAGACCTGTAGCAATGTCTAAAGATATAAAAAAGAAACTAGGTGAGGTGGAGTTTGCAAAAATGCTGCGTGATGGGAATCTGTTGATCAAATGTAAATCTGAAGAACAACAAAATAAAGCTATGCAGATTGTCCTGATGCATGCTCAATAATCCAGGTAGAAAAATCTAAAAAAGTTAAATCTGGTCCTCTGGACATTCAAAAAAACAAAACAAAGCAAATCAACAACAAAAAAAAATGTAGAAACGTTTCGTCTCTCATCCGAGAGGACTTCCTCAGTCTGAGGAGCTGTATTCAGCTCAGTCTCTTAAATAGCAACAGTAAACAGCCATCAGGTGCTAATGATCCATTGTTAGGCTGATGGTCCTTCTTGAGCATGTGATCAGCTGGTTCTGGTTGTCAGCAGCAAAACTGGTTGATCCACTCTGAGAAGGTGCTATTTAAGAGACTGAGCTGAATACAGCACCTCAGAATGAGGAAGTCTCTCGGATGAGAGACGAAACGTTTCTACATTTTTTTTGCTTTGTTTAACTATCCTGATGCATGCTCAATAATCCAGGTAGAAAAATCCAAAAAAGTTCAATCTGGTCCTCTGGACATTCAAAAAACAAAAAAAAACAAAAAACAAAACAAAGCAAAAAAAATGTAGAAAAGTTTCGTCTCTCATCCGAGAGACTCCCTCATTCTGAGGTGCTGTATTCAGCTCAGTCTCTTAAATAGCACCTTCTCAGAGTGGATCAACCAGTTTGCTGCTGACAACCAGAACCAGCTGATCACATGCTCAAGAAGGACCATCAGCCTAACAATGGATCATTAGCACCTGATGGCTGTTTACTGTTCACAGAGGGCTGAGTGATACTAGCAATCACAGCATTGTAAGAGGGGGACAGTTGAACCTGGAGGCTCCACCCCTGTTTAATGATGGACGGTTTCTTTTCACAAAGATGGCCTCCTTTACTCCTCTCTCAAACCATTGTTCCTCTCTGTCCAGGATGTGAACATCTTCATCCCTGAAAGAGTGACCTCTGGCCTGGAGATGAGTGTAGACCGCAGAGTCCTGGCCTGATGATGTTGATCTTCTGTGCTGGTCCATCCTTTTGGCCAGTGGCTGTTTAGTTTCCCCGATGTAAGACTGATCACCCTCCTGACACTGAACAACATACACAACATTACTCTGTTTGTGCCGGGGGACTGGATCTTTGGGATGAACCAGTCTTTAATGTATTTTGGGGTTTAAAAGCCACTGGGACGTTATGTTTAGAAAATAAGCGTCTCAGTTTCTCTGATACTCCCTCAACATCTGGAATGACCACTGGTCTGGGTCTGGGTTCCTCCTTTTCACCTGATGGCTGACTGGAGTCCTGTTTGGGTTTCTTCTCTGCTTTCAGGAAGGCCCAGTTAGGATATCCACATTGCTCTAGAGCCTGTCTTGTGTAGGATTTCTTCATTGCTGAACTATGACCTTGAATGGATGAATTAATGTTGGAACTGTGAATTTAATTTAAAAACGCTTCGGTGATTAACTTTGACCTTGAATGGATGAATTAATGTTGGAACAGTGAATTAATTAAAAAAGGCTTCGGTGCTGAACTATGACCTTGAATAGATGAATTAATGTTGGAATTGTGAATTTAATTTAA